TTTTGATAAAGCACCAAACGTTTTCTATCAACTATATACATGGCACGCTAAGGTTGGAAATTCCTCTTTCTAACAAAAAAAGAATTATTTAAATCGGACACCGTGTTAAAGAATTACCGCTGAACATACATAAATAAAAAATATCGCGACGAATTGAGAACCTCCTCCTTTTTTGAAGTCTGTTAAAAGTAAGTTGGAATTTCTACACCGAATGGCCAATCTCCAATAATATAAAAAGTATAATATATAAAGTAATATAAGTAGTAAAAAGTATCATTTACTGTATTTTTTTTATTTCATTATTAAACAAATTATTTAAGTACCAAAAATGTTTAATTACTCCTTTTTTGTTTTTCTTATAACATTAAAAAAATAAGAAAAAAAACTAGAAAAAAAAATTATCAAAAAAATAAATACAGTATCTTTTAGTCATGAAATTTTTCCGAATTTTTCATATTTTTAACTATTCTTTAATTTTTAGCATATATGTAAGAATTATACAAACAATTCCTACACAATTTAATCAAAACATAAGAAAGTAAATCCCAATAATATTGTTGTTTAATTATGGTATTTAAAGTATTTACCCTAAGTACTAAGTACCCTAAGTACTAAGAATTAACCCATTAAACGCATTTAAATATATGTATACTGATAGGAGGCGAAACTTTTTGTTAGAGAATTTCAAGAAATACTTACCTAGTTATTATATACTATGTTATGTTTTGTCTGTGTTCTGTTTTGTCCGTGTTCTGTTATGTCTGTGTTCTGTTATGTCTGTGTTCTGTTTTGTCCTTGTTCTGTTTTGTCTGTGTTCTGTTTTGTCCATGTTCTGTTTTGTCTGTGTTCTGTTTTGCCAAGTTCTGTTTTGTCATGTTCTGTTTTGTCCTGTTCTGTTTTGTCAAGTTCTGTTCTGTCTGATCACCCTTTTGTACGTAGTAAACTAGAATATGCGTCCATTGTTTGGAGTCCTGGATATGAAGTACATAGTCAGGCATTAGAAAAAATTTAGCGAAAATTTGTTAAATATTTGTGATGGCGTCTACCCTACTCGCAATATTCCGCAAACCATCTTGCTGAATAGATTTGATATCCTTGAATTACGTACTCCCAGGAAATGTTATTCCATCTGCATTCTTTACAAATTATTAAATTATAAAATTGACTGTCCCGAACTACTTTGTCAACTAATGTTTAATATTCCTAGTATCAGAACTCGCTCCCCTTTGTATTTCTATTTTCAGACTCCCAGGACAAATATTTTAAAATTTTCTCCAATGTATTTTATGTATCAAAATTTTTGTGAACTTCAAAATGATGTTGATTAATTTTCTATTTCAATTAAAGAAATAAAACGCTTGATTTAACGGATTTAACGGATTGAGTTAATTATCATAAGACAACGTAATTTTTTCTCCTAACAGATTTTTTTTCGTTTTCTTATGATGGTTAAAACGTTTATTAAACTACTTTTTGTTTATACATATTTATGCTATTAATAATATGTAATAGTTTGGTATTTTTATAGTTGTAATTATTTTTGTGCCCATCCTGTAATTGGTTTTATACTGTTGGATGAAGGTAACCCAAATTAATAAATAAATAATTTAGAAATAAAATAAAATAAATTATATCTAACAAATAAATTTATTATTTCAATATATACATAACTTCATTAATTTAAGTTAATAATTTTAGCGTAATTTTTACTTTTTCGTTTGTATTTTTTAATAGAATACTAAATAATAACCAAATTTTTTGAATTTCAATGAGTGCATAGATTTTTGATTAAAGTATCACATGATTTTAATCAATTTACGTATGGAAATATTATTAACCCTTACACAGAAAAAATGGTCTACTATATTCTAGATGAAAAGTCTTATTTCAATCCTTTGTTTTGTTTGTATATTCGCAAGTAAAACTCGTCTCGATTTGAAATTCTAGTAATATTTGTTCAACAATAGGTAATAAGCCTTATTTTAAGATTAGAATCAACTTGCTCTAACTAAAATACCTCTAATTATATGAAGAGTATTTATTGATCAATTGCAGTATTATGTACATCTTAAATGAAACAGTCTTACACTTTTTTTAAATATACTTTTATATACAATAATACCTTGTTTTTAAATCTAATACGACTATATTTGTTAAAATAATAATATATGATCTTTGACATAAATATATTAATTTTGATTGAAATATAGGATAGTTTCATTGATTGAAACGAAATGAAATGAATAAAAACAGGCTGTTCTTGCTTTTTAATAGGGTTCTCACCCAAAACATTTTTCAAAACTGTTTTTAGTTAATGTACCAAATTCCTCTGTCCTCTGAGGTGTCCCACCTATAATTAAAAAAAAAATTATTTTATAACTACAAAACCTATATGGAACATAAAAGTTTGTCCTGCTAAGATAAGACGCCGTATCTACAAAATGAATATTTTTAGTAAATGTGGGTAGGTAGATAATTACGTCTTTCATACTTCGCAAATAAGTTTTGCATATTTGACTAACCTTTTCTTATAATTATAGTAATTATTTTCTAATTCAAATAGGCCTCTATTATATCATATATCATAATAAAATAAAATGTAAGCTTATTAAATTTGTGAAAATCTTGAAATCGAAATTTTCTTAGATACGACCTTATCAAGGCAGAAGTCGTCTTTCCAAAAAGTCGTCATCCAGCATCATACATTTTTTTACTTCTATTCCAGTTTGTTTCGTGTTCTTGTGATTATAAATTTTCTTGTATATAATAATATCTAACAAGAAGTTATCTAAATATACTTACATTTAAATATTGGTATCAGGTCGCTGATGCCCCATTCATCTAACAAATATTCTATTTCAATTTAATTTATGCATACACTTATTAATTGATTCACAAAGAATTTCTAACAAAAAGTAAATGCGTTGTGTCTCTTCTTCTTAATAATAAGTATCACATCTCAACATGTGCGAGTCGTATATCTACCGTATCAGTGCAGTGGTTGCATTTTAAAATAAGTTTCAGCTAGCAACACCGTGCAGTGAATTTGTACTCACTAATCTTTTTGTGAAGTACATAGGTTTTTGATGCGAATTGTTTAATTTTTGTTCTGAAATTTAAATGCTTTGAATCTAATCCTTTTTTATTCATGTTATATCTTGAATAACACTATTAGTTTTTTAAAAAATATTTTATTACTTAAAAGGTATACTGTGTTTGTAGTAGGTGAGTTGTTATAACTAACTGACTTTTAATGTGTCACCCCTATTTATAACATAGGCAAAACAAAAGAAATATCTAAAAGGTGTAATGTGACAAAAGTGTTGCATTTACAAGAAAATGCAACTTGGCTGAATACAATCCTAGAGGTCAATGATAACCATTCTAGGAATTGCAACTAAGCATTATTTAACTCTAGAGAATTTATTATTAAATAATATATAGAGTGAATTTTTTATATAACATATCATACAATAAACGTAGAAGCTTTCTTAAATTAATTCACAATTCTAAACTCGAATGAAATAATTTTTCTCAGATTAATTATTATAAATTTTAAAATACAAGATTATGCCTATACTTCACTCAACATTTATTTTCTTATTGTATCGAGAAATATTATTTAAAGCAAACTCTGCTTTATTTCAAACAAGTGTAATTTTCCAAGTATAAAGCTTTTCTTGAATGTAGATGATAATTTTTTTTTTTAATATCGCCTAATTCTATTTGAATCTCAAACTTTTGTAAAATTTATTCATTGGGCAGAAAATTCAGTAAACTAAAAAAACCTTCTACTTTCGATACCGTTGAACTAAAATATGTAATAAATTATGGTCGTTAATAAATCTAATTATATTTATGCATTTTAAATACCACATCGTTATGTTATTACATATATCTATTTACATAAATATTTGTATATAACGTGTTACAATTATGAAGATCGGTTCACAGTAGTCGAGTTTTAAAATTAATTAAATGAAATTATGCTGCAATAATCAGTGCGGTAAATTTAATGATTTTCAGTTATTTATATTACTATTTATCCAGTTGATTTTGGAAATATAAATTGGACATATCTGACACTTTCAGCTATTGTCAAATAATTTTAGATCCCCCAGCAATTATTTTTTACAGTACAGTCTAACGTTTTAACATTCATTGCTTTGCCGTATAGGATAGGTAGGTACTATGTATGTATCTTATTTTACGTTCCATAAAATAAATAAAAAAATCATATATATAAAATAATTATATTTCTGTGGTCGAAAGTTAAAAGGACGTTAGTTTGATTTTGTAACTTTTCAGAAGAACTCAAACTGAACTTAAATTTTGGAAATAAAAGTAATTTAAAGTAAGAGGTGTTTAAAAGTTCTCCGCTATCTTTAATAAAAATTGTTATTTTGTTTTAATTTTTTTGGGATATTATTAATAAGTCTGTGCAAATATATGATAATCCAAACTTTTTTGTCTTCTGCCTTTGAAGATAAATTACTTTTCGATTATTTCCATATTAGTAAAAAAGTACCCGATGCTATTATTCATAGGCAGCGTTAAAAATGAGCTCCAACTGGTAACCTTGTAGTAAATGCAAAATAAAGAATATTTAAGGTCTCATTGGTTGTGAAGGTATTTGTAATAATTGGTTCCACTAGTCCTGTGTCGGATTTACAAACAATGAATTAGTAAACAATAAAAACGTCTATTTTATGTGTGATTCGTGTAAAAAGAAATACTCCATTCAAGAAACCAAAACTGTCCGACAATTCGCAAGATATTAAAAAACTTTAAGAAGATAGTAGAAGATGTAGTAAGAAGCACAACAGCTAAAATTGATACATGGATGAATTCATTTAAAACAGATCTTATGCCTATAGTAAAGCATAAGATTAAACAAAAGCTGACATCTAAAGTTCGCTGAGAGAATAGAGAATATAAATATGCCAAACTACTCAAATGCTGTTCAAAATGCTTAAAAACAATCTTCAGTCGTTATAAAGCTGAAATCAAAACAAGATTTATCGGTGACCAAGACTGATATGGTAGAAAACATAAATCCCATTAATTTTAATGTGGCTATCATCAAAGTTAAGAATGTACGAAATGGTGGTCTCGTTATTAGTTGTGAAAACTCAGAGGAAATGGACAAATTTAAAGAATTGGCTAACGAGAAGCTTGCTTCGAGTTACACAATCAAAGAAGTACCTGCTCTCAATCCACGGTTTAAAATAGTTGGGATGGTGGAATGTCTAAGTGAAGAAGATATTTTGCATTTATTGAAGACTTAGATTAAAAATGAATTTAGCAATGAAAGCAACATTAAACTAGTGTCCATTGTCCCTCTAAAAAAAATAACCGCCTGTTTCAAGCTGTAATTCAATCGGATCGTAACACATACAAAAAAGTTATGTCTCAAGGTAAGCTGTACGAAGGTTATGATTATTGTAGTGTTTTTGGTACCCTTAATTTACGGCGTTGTTTTAAATGTTGTGGTTTTCACCATATGTCAAAACACTATTTCTCGGTGAATCATATTTGTCCGTTATGCGCAAAAAACCACAAATTAAAAGATTGTACCTCTTCAGATAGATATTATATCAACTGTCATAATTATAATAAACGTGCCGAGCGTCAAGTTTCTGCCAATCATTCTGCTTGGGATAAAGACTGTCCTGTTTTTAAACTTGCTCTGGATAAACACAAATTAAATATACTTTCTCCACCATAACAATTACCGATAATCAGAAACACTGATGATGTTTTAATTAAAAACATACCTGACGCCAATACGTTACTTTGTTACTATCATAATTTAAGGGGAATTCGGACAAAGTTAAATGAAGTATACCTTAATACATCAGTGGCATGTCCATTTGATATTTGCGCATTTACTGAGACGTGGCTTAATGATGACTTCCATAATGACGAGCTGCTAAATTTAAATTATTATCACGGTATAATAAACAATCGGCAGGCTAACTTGTCTTGGCGGCAACGCTACGCACACATCTACGCGGATACCGCCATTTTGGGGTCCAGCATCTCAATCAAGCCAGTGGCGTTACTGTCGTCGTTTATATCGACAAAAACGAACAAGTTGCAGTAGCACGGAATCAGTAGCGTGTATCTTAAATTTATTTTGTTTGTGATGTTTGTATTATGTAGTTATTGTTGTTTTTTTAGAATTATAGATATTTTTTGACACTTTTTATATAGTAGTTGTTTTCCAGTGTTAATTTGTTACTTTTTAAGTGTTTTACTATGTCTGGGCAAAGTTGTGCAGCAAAAAACTATATAAATAAACTGTATTAAAAGATTTTTTCGGTTTCTTAATGATCTTATTAGGTATGTATGGTATACTTTTAAAAAAATCCTAGTTCATGAGTCTGTTTGTCAGTTATAAAGCTATTAGTAAGATGTACGTAGGTGCCTAGTTAACTTCACGTAAAGTTTAGCGTCAATTTATATTTACTTATGTAGGTATATTATTAAGATTTAAAGTAAAATGTTATATTTTAAACATCTCCCGTATGGAGTTGACAAAATGGAAAAATCTTTATTTTTATTTTAAGGAAAAAGTCATTATAAAAAAATTTTGTTTGACGAAAAAATAGGTTTACTATATTAATATGTTAGGTCAAGTGTACATGGTCTTAATAAATGAAGAAACTTAAAATTGACAAAAGGAAAAAATCTGTATTACCTTATTGATTTTACGAAGAAAAGTCACAGTTTTCCTTTCGGTTTTCTTTTATAACTTTAAAAGGAAACTTTTTCTTGTAATTTTCTTTAATAAGCAGAATTTTTTGTACAGAATAATTTTTTTTTCTGAAAAAAAAAAAATTAATATTAATCGTAATTGTGTTATTCCCAAATATTGAAATGCTTAACAAAAATTTAATTCTGATATTCATTTTGATAATTATTCTAAATATGCGAATAACAAAGCTTTATAATCTTGAAAAATCTAAAGTATTTTCATTACAAAAAGCAAGAAAATCTTAATTAGCCATTAAAGAAATTATAAGTAGTAAATTAGTAATGAGTCACAATCAAAATCATGTGTTTTAAGCAGTGCTATTAAAAATGTAAAATTCTTATATTTTGTCGAAGTAAATTCAAAAGTCCGCCAAGTTTCAAGATAAAATAGCATTACATCTTTCTATATTACCGACTGAGTATTAATTGCACAAAACTATTCCATATGTCGCTGAAGGGAAACATGCTGCCAAATTTCTGTGAGGAATCTGCAACTCTTAATTATCCTTCCTCCATGATGGTAACTGTGTAAACCCTACATCGGTCCAAATTCAAAGGGCGTTCAAAAAATTGCAATGTTTAAATTTATTACATTCTGGAACTGAAAACTGCGAAACAGGTGGAGATGCTTTACTTGTAAGGCTACATGAAATTCGTAGGACTAGTAAGGATGAGCCATTTTCCAAATTTGCGTGTAATGGTGGCAATATTGTCGAAAATGTAAATATAAACAAGCATATTAATGAATTGCATGCACAAAATATTAATATTTTTTAAGAAAATTTTATTATATATGCGGATTTTTAATAAAAAAATGTCTTAAAATTCAACATTTAACAAAATGTACACAATATGCCCTAACACACGAAGACTTGGATATATGCTCCATGTATTGTTATTATAAAGCATACAAAAAAAGCAAATAAAGATATTTTTGGCAATTTAAAAATGTCAAATAATAGTTTTGTATGTTTAACACGTTGACTGCCGATACCATATGTAGGACCTTCTCGAATAACCGGACCTTTTTTTTGTGCAAACTTGTAAAAAAAGTATTCCTTAGTGATGTGTTCATTATTATAAATAATTTTAGTTAGTCCTTATACCTGAAACTACTGTGACTCAAGGGTTGAGTCATCGGCCTCTGACTACTATTTTCTCAATAAAAGGCCGATGACTCAACACTTGAGTCAGACCCAAGAATTACCTATGTGATGAAAAATAAACACTAGATGCATGCTCAAACATTTGTTTATTATTAAAATGCATTGTTTACAAATAAACAATGAAAACTCAAATACAATTTCTAAAAAGAATAAAATAATAGACATTCTAACAAAACTAAGAAAATCAAATACAATTTCTGAAAAGAACAAAATAATAAAATGGTATAAGCATTTCTGCTTAGGAAAACGACATAAAATCAAAAATACATAAAATACATATAAAAAATGTATAAAAAATGCCAAAAACAAACCAAAAAACCAAAGGAATTTTATTTCGTGTTATGGTACATCCGAAAACAATTTCCGAGGCAAAGTCCTGGTTGACCGGGACAAGCAGGGCAAAAATATGGGGTATTCTTACGGATTTTCTGTTCATAACACATCCTGCACCGCTTTCTCATCTGACATTTTTTTTCATTCAAATTATATTTTTCAGGTAAATGGTCAGGCTGTTCGTTCGGTTTGTTTTTGGAATTTTCAGGGGTTTGGTTTTCCGTTTGTGACAAAAGATTTTTAATTATACAGTGCCGAAAGTCATAATAACTAAGCTTTTTTTTAGTGGAATATGTATTATACATGTAAAAAGCGTTGAGAAGCATAATTGATATAAAATGGATGATAAGCTTTTTATACCACCTAATTGTTTTTCTCTCACTTCCGTAATATGAAAGCATTTGGTCCTGCCTATCTATTCCTGACATATTTTTGTTATATTGAATAATAGCGTTTGGTTTTTGTTTTTCTTCTCCCCGCCTATTTTCTGCACTTGTCAATTCACCATCAAACTCTGTAGAAATAAATAGTACTTCTCTTTTGTCACGCCACTTTCCAATTCCAACTCCGCTAGAATATTTCATCGTAACTTCACCTTTCTTCAATTTTTTGGAGGTTACTTCTTTTGGATTTCCTTTTCTGTTCTGTCTTAAGGTGCCCGTAACATACGTTTTTTTTGAAATTAGCTCTCTGCACAAAGTCACACTATTATAATAATTGTCCATAAAAAGAGAATGTCCGTTTTCAAAATATTTTTTTACTAAACTCATCACAACGTTTGCTGAATGTCCTAATTCTCCCTGCATATCTTTTTCGCCGCCGGTATATATTCTAATTTTTAAAACAAGACCATTAGGTTCCGATAAAATATAAAGTTTTACTCCAAATTTATGCTTTTTATTTTTTATATATTGTCTGAAAACAAGTCTGCCTCGCCAAAGAACCATAGACTCGTCTAATGAAAGATTTTTATTGGGATAATAAATTTCATCCATTCTTTGGTTAAAAAAATCTTGAAGCCACCTTATCTTTGACAAACGGTCGCCAAATCCTAAATCGCCTCTTTCCGGATTTTTCGACAGATGTAGGCATCTTAAAATGGTTAAAAAACGATTTCTACTCATATGTTTTCGAAAAATAGACAGATTATATAACTCTTCAGTTTTCCAGTAGTCCTGTAACCGGTTTATCTTTATATTGCCCATATGAAGCCACAGTCCCAAAAAAACCTGTAAAGTGGCCACTGTTATAGGTTTCCAATCCGTTATTCTTGATTTTTCCCTGGTTTGTTTGCTGAGGAACAATTCTTCGGCATAGCTGTTAGTTTCAGTTACGATGTTTTCGAGAAGTATATCTGTTAGAAACAATCTAAAAAAGTCCATAGGTTCGTCAGATTCTAAATTTATCTTGAGACCGGGATTGCCCAAAAAGGGAAAGTCTTTGAAATTAGGGTCTTGACCCCATGAAGGTAACTCACTATAATTTATTTGATCGGTGGTGGTTGGTTGACTATTATTCACAGCAGGAACGTCTTCAACATCTTCCTCCTCTTCGCTCGAATCAGTTTCGTCCGGCTCGTACTCACTTTCACTCTCTAAAAACGGTTCTTCATCACTTTCAGAAAAATTAATTAATGCTTCTTGTTCACTTAATGTTAAAGCTTTCTTTCTTTCATAGTCTGTAAGTCTTTTTTTAGGCCTAGATGGTCCCGGAATTTCACCATCCATTTTACAAATATAACAAACACGACCGAAAAACCAATACACAGAAAATACGTATTTATACTCTATCAAGAGGCCGACGTGATATAAACCTATTTCGACAAAAGCCGGAGCAACACTGGTTCATAGTATATTCAATTGCACTTGACTCACCAGTTGAGCCATCGGCTTTTGGTGGGAGGCCGTCGTGGCTCAACAGTTGAGTCATCGGCAGTCAACGAGTTAATAATAAAAATTTAAATAATTTTTCATCACAATTTTGAATTATTTATCACTAAATCCGGCGTTTGTAATTTTTTTTTAGATTTA